ACATATCTTCTTTGGGGCTACCACTCAACTCAATACTTCACTGGTGGTTAAAATGTTTCCTATTCCAAACGGAAAGGGGCACCACATTTAAGCTTTTGTAATTAATTATTACACAATGGAGGAGGGGCCTCCTGGGCATAAGCTCCAAATGTTATGGTTCCCATTTATAGCCACCTTTTTAGGATGCAAATTGTGAGGTAAAGCTTTTAAATTCCCACACAAAGCTTCTAGTTAACTCACTTGCCTTGGAAGATAGGGGCTATTCATCCTCCATTCACTCTTCCAGTGGAAGAGACTCACTGTGAGCCTAAGTCAATTTCTCCTTTCAGAAAGGCTATCCACAGTGATGCCAAGTAGTCAAGATGGTTTTCATTCCAATTTTACTTATTCATAGCTCAATATCTGGTGAGGCAACTTTCTGATCAGTGATAGTGGCAGGTGGAAGTTGTGGAGCAGGGAGCGCTGTTGAGGATACATAGAGTTATAGGACTTGGTGAACAATTGGTCATGTTAGTGAGAAACAAGGAAGACTTTAAGACCTGGGTGAGCAAGACAGGATATTTAGTTCAGTGTTGAATATGGTGAATCTTAGGAAGCAGTAATTCATCCACGTGAAAAAAATCTCATTAAACTCATGACTGATGGGTTTCTAGTTTTTTAAAACATAAATAAGGCATTCTTTTTAAGGAAAGATATTTTGAGTATTTTTTTTTTCATGAATTGTGAGATGCGAGCTGCATCTTTAAAGTTTTAACACAAACATTTTGCACGGAAGCAATCACTCCCTAAATATGATGCTAGGCTTGAGCTATTTTTTTTGACTTTGATATATTTTAAATATAATTAATATTATTTTATGCTTAGTGCATGTTGCCTGATTCTTAATTTTTATTTGTTTGAAGGGGTTGCAGGCATTTTTTAAATCTTCTCTCTTAGAGGATCAGGAACAATAACTAATAGGTAATAGGCTTAATACCTGGGTGATGAAATAATCTGCACAATAAACCCCCATGACACATATTTACCTATGTAACAAACCTACACGTGTGCCTCTGAACTTAAAAGTTAAAGAAAACTCCTTCCTTGTTCTTATTTCTCTTTTTTCATATTCTTACAAACAAAGCTCTCAAAACAAACAGTCCATTTATAATATACATTATTTTCTATTCCTTCTCAGTTTCTTCTTGAATCACTGATAGGAAAAATGGGCTTGACTTTTTTTTCATAAGGATGAGAATTATACACAAAAAAACTTCTCTTCCAACCTTTTTGGAAACAATGACGTATTTGTACTTACATGGATTTGCAAGTATGGCATTGATTTACCGCTTTGTGTGCACCCATTGTTGCCTTTCAAATGATCACTTTTCATACAACTTTAGCAGATGAAGAACTTATTGAGGTGGTGCAAGTATTTTAACAATCATTAGTCAATTAGAATACATCTTTAATATTTTATTATATTTTTAAATATTTTTTAAAACATTGTCTTTTTTTAATTTTTATTTTTTAAGGCAGAGTCTTGCCATTGTCAGCCCAGGCTAGAGTGCAATGGCAAGATCTCGGCTCACTGCAACCTCTGCCTCCTGGGTTCCATCAATTCTCCTGCCTCAGCCTCCCGAGTAGCTGAGATTACAGGCCGCCACCAGGCCCGGCTAATTTTTGTGTTTTTAGTAGAGATAGGGTTTCACCATGTTTGCCAGACTGGTCTCGAACTCCTGACCTCAAGTGATCCACCCGCCTTGTCCTCCCAAAGTGCTGGGATTACAGGCGTGAGCCACCGCGCCCACCTAAAACATTGTCTTTTTTATATTTTATACTTTATATGCTTTTATATTTTTGTTCAGATATTAAAATAAAAATTGTTATCTGGCTATGTTACTTTTTAAATATGCCTACATTTTAATAATGCATGCAAAAAACAGTAAAGTTTTAAGGGAATTAAACATTGAGTTTAATGGAGTCCTACATTTAGTATGACAGCAGAACACCACAAAGTATATCCACTTAACTTTCCTTTGCACCAAAGTAGCTTTGTGAAAAACTGAAGAAAATAAGCCTTCATTCAGAGCTTTAATAAGAGTCTATTCATGGGAGGGCCTCATGCCAGTCAATGTATTTCATGTTTTATTATAGTAACATGCTAGAGAAATTGTTCTGGTTTTTAAATTAGGCATTTAAAATGAAAACAAGCATCAAACAGTCTCTGACCAAGTTCCTTGTGTCTCTTCTTTGCTATGACTTCTTGAGTGATTTTCATGAGAAGAGTGATCTCATTATGAGTAACATTTCTTGAAGCAGAAAAATATGACACTCCAAATGATATTGACTTGCTGTTTTCCTGTTATTTAGTGGTCTTAACTATCAATCAAGCAACTAAATGATGCCTGTCATACACCCATGAGAGTAAAACATAGATCTAATTTTATCCTTAGGTCATTGAAACTTATAATTGCTAAAACTTTGTCCTATGAAATTAAAATTGAATCAACAAGGTTAATAATACAAAGAAAAGTAGGAAGAACAGCATGCAAAGAACATTATGTTCAATAGGATCAAGTGTAAGTGATGATAGGAGAAATTGTTTTTTTAAAAAACAGGATTGGAACCAAAATTTGTTTTTAATATGTGAGTTTTTAACATTAGAAGGATTTTATTCTTAACTCTCAATTATATAATCACAAAAAAACCAATGTTTCAGGAAAACATACTTAATCCTAACACAAAATTCATGTCACTTATCACAAAGTTAGATAGTCAAGTGTAAAACGGAGAAACAAAACAGAAATAGCAATTTTAAACCACATGAGACATTGTGAAGAATTTTTTTGTTAATAAACAACCCATAAATATTTTACATACTACATTTCAAAATGATGCCTCTGTGAATAATATGATAAAGGTCATAGTGTTGAAGACTTTAAATTCAAAGTCATCATGTTGAAGACTTGAAATTAAATTCCAGGTTGTAGTGATGAAAAATTCAAAGTCAAGATCTTGATGATAAAGACTTTAAATTCAAGGATACATTGTGTAAGAAAGGACAAACTACTAGCATTCAAGTTATTTAGCCAATTAGTTCTCTGTAAGTACAAAATATAAGAAATCACTAAATGGATTGGCCTAATTACAAATTTAGTTTCATTTATAAATAACTCTCAACTTCAAGAAATCTTTTCACAGACTCATTCAGTCACATGGTATCTATCTATCCTTGTGTCGGTATTTCTGCTACACTTTAAATCCTTATTCAAAACAATTCCCTCTCAATTTCTCTATGTTTATAAACAAAAAAATAATTTACAAGAAAGAAATGTCGGCTGGGCTCAGTGTCTCACACCTGTAATCTCAGCACTTTGGGAGGCTGAGGCAGGCGGATCACGAGGTCAAGAGACCAAGACAGTCCTGGCCAACATGGTGAAACCCCGTCTCTACTAAAAATACAAAAATTAGTCGGCTAAAAATACAAAAATTAGTCGGGTGTGGCGGCACGTGCCTGAAGTCCCAGCTACTTGGGAGGCTGAGGCAGGAGAATCGCTTGAACCAGGGAGTTGGAAGTTGCAGTGAGCCGAGATTGCACCACTGCATTCCAGCCTGGTGACAAAGTGAGACTCTGACTCAAAAAAAAAAAAAAAAGAAAGGAAGAAAGAAAGAAAGAAAGAAAGGTCTGTCCCTTAGCCAGAGAAAAAAAGCAATCCATTTCCTTCTTTACTTCAAAAACACAAAACTAACCAAAACAATCCAGTTCCTGATGTACTGTCACACAGAACCCAGGGCCTGGAACAATATTTCATTCTGGTTTTCTTGCTATATGCTGAGAATAATGCAGTTATTTACATTATTGAGAAATCTATTTAGCAGACTAGAATCATCCCAGTGCTTCCATCAGAAGAAGGCTTGCTAAAAAAGGCACGAGCAGCAGCATCTATGAATGGGAACATCAAAGACTCTACTCTGTCTTTCTCCTCATCTTTTTCTGATTCATCTATATCTGCTGAATCATCATCATCATCATCTTTTTTTCTCCTCCCCCCTCATCTTTCTCTTCCATCTCTTCATATTCATCAGGACCCATTTCCAATCATAGTATAGGCACCCTGAATGTTAGACATGCCATATGGAATTGGAGAATGGCAACATTAAAGATATTTAAAGTAAAGGAAATGGTAGGTATAATACCCTTCCACATATCCTGTTGTTGTAGAGAATGTGGTACAGCTACTCTAGTCATACACCCAAACTTGACTGATGATTGGAAATTCACAAGCTACTCCAGGTCCTTGAACTTCTTCCACTTCACCTTTAGCATTCGTTAGTCTCCACTAGCAACTGTCCAACTGACAAGCCTTCTCAGGAATAGCATCTTTTGACAATCTTAATTTGGTACGTGAAGAAATAGTGGGGTGGATGTACAGAAGCTAAGTTCTGGCACAAACTATGGGGAAACTGAAATGGTAATATCCTCAGGTGTTGCTACAGAAATTCTGGCATCTCATGAATCAGTCTTATTTCTTCACTAATGATATTTCAAATTTATGCTTTGGGAAAAGTTTAGTGCTCTAGAAATATTCAACAGAATGAGTATACATTAGCCTTTGGATTTTATGGTTTATAGCTAACATTGCACAGAAAGTATTTTATACCACATGTTCTTCCAAAAACATTCAGTCTCATAACTAGATTTTATATGAAAATCTTCAAGGAGTAGCTATACAAATTGTACTTGTCATTTAAAGCTACAAGAAAAGTATCATTCAGATTTGAAATTCTGTTTGGATTTAACTTCCTGTTAACAGTAGCAACTGTCCAACTGGTAGATTTTGAAAATGATGGCAAATTATCCTCTTTAATAAAAATAACATTGACAAAGACTCAAAACTGCCTGAATTTTACGGTCTGTATCAATTATAAGGTAAAGAAATCTTCTGCTTCCTCTAAAGCTGCCCCATAGAGAAGTTGGCAATTAAAAAGGCATCCTTGCCTGTTTTAGGTAATCTTACCAGTAAAGACGATGGGCAACCTGGATGCTTTGCAAGGAGCGGTGGAGTAGAAGTTGCACTAAAGGACTCTCAAGGTTCCATTCAAACTTGACAGCCTGAAGTAAGAGACACAATTACTTTACTTGTCAGTAACAAAATTATACCTGAATACAGAGGGACTTCAGAGGCTTGAGAAAAGACTAGAGAAAACAGCATGCACATTTTAACAAAATGCTAATAACACATTCATGGTTTTATGAGTCGGTGTATGACTAATAACAAAACACACATATATTACACCATTTGGATTTGTGTAGTCTTGCTTCCTTTCCTTGTTATGGATAAGAAATAAGGGCAGGAGTTGGTAGAGTTCAACCATGTGCTGGGGGAGAATACTGACACAAAAAGTCCTGGATTATTAAATACAATATTATTAAGCCATAGATATTTCTTCCTATTTGGAGATGAAATTAATGCACATTCAAAGCCTTAACAGAAATCATCAACTGGTGTATCATTATTAACCTCCAGGCCTTGAGGTTTTGCTTAAAAGTTCAAAACTATTACTACCATAACGCAGTCCCAAATCCTTTCTTTCATCTCCACTGTGAACAACTCTTAAGTTTTTTAGGATACCCAACCGGGTAGAAAACACAGGTAACAATGGCAGTCCCTGCTATCCTTAGGGACCTAATTTAGGGCTTCACCTGTCCTCTGCAGGGACTTCACTGACAGCAATCTGTAGCTGAGCTGCTATCATCATCCCAGGAATCTGAATATATGAAAATGAAAACCAGGTTCTCATAAAAATGCCCATTTCTGCTTGAGAGACAAAGCTTCTATCTTTAGTTGTTTGACAAACCATTTAAGTCTCTCTCTCTTACACACACACACACACACACACACACACACACACACACCACACACAAAGCTTAAGAGTCTAAGCCAGGCTTTATACCACAGTACAGACAGCAGGAAAAAATGAGTACAATATCCAGTGATACATACACTTGAAGAAACACCTCAATATGCTAGCTATCCTCAAGAATGCGAAAGTTTATAAATTCCTAAGGTGTGAGGGTGCTGAAGATGAGTTCAGCAAATCTGCATAAACTCCTGATGCTGTCTGAATGTAGAAGGACAATAGTGTGTGCTGTCTTAAACTGTAGCCATGGCCCTCTCTCACTTACATGCTAATGCTGGGCTGGCTAGGTCATAGGTTTTATTTATGCCCTAATAGTAAGCATATTATATGAGCATATGAGCAGGAGGTATGTTTCAGAATTACCTACTTGCTTGCCTTTTTAGATGTCTGCCCCATTATTTCTTCCTGAACCCAATAACTGTTTGTTATCCCTCACTTCCAAACTTCCTGCTTTACTCTGTCCACCGATACAATTTCCCCCTAAATCCTGCCTGATCATCTAGAATGTAGACAATTTTTCTGGTGAACACCATATTATCTGAAGTGGTTTGCAGTAACCCCTGGGTCTGGGTCTTATTTGGCTGTTAGCTATGAACTGTATGTTCTGTTTTGTTATAGCCTTAGAGTCCTTTCTTACAGCTTTAATATAGACTGCATAATTCCAACATGATAATACATAACAAAATAGCATGATTCCAGAAAACAATCAACAGGTTAGGATTTTTTATGTGTTGGAAAGTTTGAAATTCAAGGTAGAGTATAGAAGTCTAAGGACAATGAACGTTTTGAAATTCTTCCTTTTTTTAAAACAATTTCTAGTCACACTATTGATTTCTTTCCATCTCAGGACATTTTATATCCTTCCTTTTTAATCATAACATAGTTGAAACTTTAATTTTGCCTTCTGTGTATTTGCTGTGTTCGATTGTGTGCACTCCTTCTTATAAACTTGGATTTGCGGAAATATGGGCCTCAATGACATTCCTGATGCCAAGTGTACTTACTCAGATAGAGACTTTCAAATGAGTCTAATGTCTACAAACTTTTGTGAAAACATGCTCTCCTGAATTGGGCTAGAAACAGCATGTTGCCATATCCTTGAGTCCTGAGATGAACGGTGAATTTGTAAGTTAGATTAACCCTTATTTTCAAGAAAGATTGGATTGTACTCTATGGTACAGCTATTTCTAAACCAGCTCTCTCTCTTAAGGAGATGTTCAGAGAAATTCATAATGTCTGTGCAAAGTCATACTCTACTAAAGTTTATTAATATAGGCTCACTCTACCTGATTCAGCAACTTTTTCCAAAACCTTGAGGCAAACTGACCCAAGAACTAGCTGTAACAACGTGAACTTTCAGATAAAAAAAAAAAAAATAAAAAATAAAAGCTGGATAAAAAAACACAAAGCAATAAAAAGTCACAATTTAGATCGTATTAGCCCACATACAAGTTATCCCGGAAAGAACGAAAACAACCTTACCTTCTATAGAGTGAGATATTCGTGTTACTTACATGCTGTCATGTGGTGGAATGTTAATAATGTTTATATTTCATCATATTCGAGACTAAATTCAGTCTCTTGCCTTACATACTGGGATAACCATTATATTATTCTAAAATGACTGCCAATATTTATGGATAATTTGGATGTTACTCAAAATGTACATTTGGGACAAAATTTGCTAATTAGAAATTACTATGATAAATTTATGATCAAAATATAACCGTCAAAGAAGCTGCGCCAGAAACTCATAAACTTATGAGAAGTTGCCTAGCAAAGTGATTTATTTTTTCTATATAACATTTATTTGGTAATTTTTATCATTTTATATATACGTATTTGTAAATTTTTATCACAAGCATGTCTATTTTTTCATGTTCTAATTAATAAATGAAATCATTTAAAAAAATTTTCCTTTTTGGAATTAACGTACCTTTTTTGTAATTGTAACAGTTTCAGATAGAGAATGTCTTCCTTACCCATGTTGACATCATTTAGTCCCTTGGGTGGCCAAATTGCAATATCACTTCTAAATAGTCTATTGTTGATTCATTGGGAACCTTTTAGAGAATAATTAGTTAAAACTCTGGGTTTCCTTAGCAACTCTGCTGTTCTTACCTGAACTAGCTGTGGGAGATATTCCAGTAGTTCATCATTCAAGAGGGTGTCTAATTGTTGAACTGCCACTTTACGAATTTCTTGATCTGTAAAACTAATACACAGTAAATATATCCATTAAGCTGTTAATGGTAAGGAATAATGCATAAGACATGTCAGGGAGAACAGAGAATGAATTCTACCCCCAGTGTATAAGGTAAAACAATTATCCCATAATCGATTAAGGTAATATTAGCACCAAATAATTATTATTTTTCCATATTCCATACTCTCATGTGGACTGCAGTAGGAAATCCTTTCACTAGATTTTGGAAATGTGGTTTTAAGTCTGATTCCTGCCAGCTTTCTTATCTATAAAATGTAGATCATGGATAATCTAAAATCTTTTCTAAAGTAGTATGAAAATCTTTGCTTATTTAGCCAAGCATTTGATAAATAAGTTATTACCAACTGGAGATCTGGTTATATGATTAAAAATGGGATCTAATATTTTTAACCAGTCTTAGCCTGATCTTAACAAAACCCAGAAATCTAAAGTTCTTTACAATAAATAAACAAAAATAATTTAATATGGCTAAATCTTACTAGACTGTGAAGTTCTTGAGGGTAACTGTGCCTTATTCATTTTTGGATGGCATTTGCCTGTTGTAAGATTTAGCAGCCATTAGGCACTTAATAAACATTTTTTATTGAAATAAATTTGTGAAGTTATTTAGTATTTGAAATCCTGTTCCAAAGACAATTTATCCTCAAATGGATTCCTCAAATTGTCATCTTGCTCCATCAGAAGAAACAGATTCAATTATCTCAAAGTTCCGGCTTGGAAATAATTTTGGCTCCATATTGTTTTGACATGATTAGATATTACTAGGGCTTAGATAAGAAGAATTAATTTTAAAGAAACAGTTTTTCAGAAAAAAATTAGCATAATGTAAAATGTGAAGGAACCGCTTATAGTAATTTATTTACAAATAAATAAATAAACAAAACAAACTCGAAATTGCTTTTGTAGACAACTAACTGAATGCTCTAGTCAGGTGAGGCCTCTGAAGACAGGCTTCCAGTAGGAGGTTAGAAAACTGTAAAGTCTTCAATGGCCAGTATTTTCTCAGCATATCAGATTACTGAAGAGTAAATTGGGAACTATGCCACCATCCAGTCAAGTAAACAATGGTATCACACAACTCAACTGTCTTGGATGGCAACTTCAAATGGAATGCTAAGCAAGTTACGTATTTTTTCTTCATTAAACTGAGCATTTTCATTGCAACAAGAATTTTACCTATAAGGTTAGTCAGTCAAAACTCTTATTTCTGACCTGCAAGTACATTTCCAGTATTTTTCTGCCTTTGAGCATTCTAGCAACGAGACCTAGTGAGAACTGCGGTCCAGACACATTTGATGAAGTATTGCAAAGGTCAGAAGATCTCAGCATAACGTCATGCACAGGTGGAGGACAGAAGGAGTACAATTAAAATGCAAAGCTACAAGCAGGTCAGCTTGTTTTAGTCCATTAAGACTTTAGATTCTCCTAACTAAATGTGATTGACTCTAATTGATTGCTCTCAATTACTGGACCATTTGTCTGAAGCTTGTAGACATCAAGGTCAGTGTAAGGACAGTTTGCAGTCTTGGAGGGAACAGTTTACTAGGTAAGTTTTGTTACCTAAGTGATGACTTGTTAAGTTAGCTAGTAGTCGCCCATGCTTCCCTGTGTGACTATTTTACCTTATTGATAGAAATGACAAAGAAGAAATAAAAAAGGAACATTGCAACAAAAAAAAGCTCTTTGGTGAACATTATACCTTTAACTATAGATTTATTTCCACTAGAATGCAAACTCCAGAAAAGCAGTGACTTTTTATCTGTTTTGTTCATAGATGTGTCCCCAATGCCTTCAGATTTGTAGGCACTCTACATATTTCTTAGAAGACTGTTGAACCTGAACTCATTATCATTACACCTAAAACATCTTTACTACACTTCCTCACTGTAGCCTGTGTTATCACCTTTCTCCAATTACATACACTTAAATTGTTAAAGGTAATATTTTGCCCCTGTTTGTTACTTTTTTCACCTTTCCCATCTGATGGAATTCTATTCATCCATGAACTCCAAGCTCAAGCATCAATTTACCTGTGAAGCTGTTCCAGCAATATTTTAACACCCTGTGGAGCTGATAACTCCCTTCTCTATAAAATTGTATATTATATACATCATTGAGGACAGGCTCATTTATTTATGATTCCCTAGCCCAAGCACAGTTGAATAAAAGTTTTGGAATTCTTAGTATTCTCTTATCTTTACATCTAATCAGTTGCCGAGTTCTGTTGACTTTTCTATCCTAATGACTCTAGCCTTTAATGCTTGCTTTTAATTTCTTCTGCTGCTATCTAGTCTAGGCCATAATTACCTCATTCTATACTAACATTTTTAATAACAACACCTTATCAAATCCCCTAAAGTAAGTTCATTTCTCATAAAACATTAAATGATTTTCTATGTCCAATAAACCTCCCTTTAGCACACCCTGCAATGTAAATATTCAAGGCAGCAAAACACTCTAGATTTTTCTTCTACCATATTACTCACTGAACCAGTCTGGCTCATTGATATATTACTTCTACTCTGAAAATGCATGTGCCTTTTCACTTTTGTGCACACTGTAGCATATGCTGGAAAACCCTCCCTTAGTTCTTTAAGTTCTAGTCCTCCTTCAAAATGTAGATCAAATTCCCTTGAAGGTGCCTCTGTTAGTCCGTAGTAGTTACTTCTCTGAATGCCAAGGATATTGACTGGTTGACCCCCACTTAAGATATCACAGTGTGTATTAGAATTTATCCTTTTACATATGTGTCATCATTCCTCAACTACTGACTAATTCAACTGAAGATGAGGATTGTTCAATATTTTCTTTTTTATTGCTAGGATTTAGCAACTTACTCCACATATAGTTGCAATGAATAAAAATGCATTGATCATGATGATAATAATTACAAAAATCCTACCATAAAGTCAATTTTATTTCCTTCTGTGTTTTGAGATAGTTTCCATTGGTTGCAATAGATTTAATTTTATAAATACCACTCATATAAATTTCAGATCTTTTTTTCTCTCAGTCAAAAGCATAGGAGAAAAACAAATCTGAAGGCAATGAAAGAGAGGGATGTACAGGTATACCTCAGAGATATTGCAGGTTTGGTTCCAAACCACTACAATAAAATAAATATCACAATAAAGCCAGTTGCATATTTTTTTTTTGTTTTTTTCAGTGTATGTAAAAGTTCTGTTTATACCATACTGTAGTCTACTAAATGTGTAATAGCATTATGTCTAAACAAATCATTAAATTAAAAACGTTTATTAAAAAGACTTTGTGGCTAAGAAATGCTAACAATCAACTAAGCAAGTTCTAATCTTTTTGCTGGTGGAGGGTGCTCCCTCCATGTTGATGTCCGCGACTGATTAGGATGGTGGTTGCTGAAGGTTGGGGTGCTTGTGGCAATTTCTTAAAATAAAGACAACACTGAAGCTTGCATCGATTGACTCTCTTTTATAAAAGATTTTTCTGTACTATGTGATGCTGTTTGATAGCATTTTATCAACAGTAGAACTTCTTTCAAAATTGAAGTCAATTATTTCAAGCCCTGCCACTGCTTTATCAACTATGTTTCCATAGTATTCTAAATCCGTTGTTATCATGTCAACAATGTTCACAGCATCTTCACAGGAGTAAATCTCAAGAAACCACTTTTTTTTTTGCTCATCCATAAGAAGCAACTCCTCATCTCTTCAAATTTGTCATGAGATTGCAGCAATTCTGTCACGTCTTCAGGTTCGATTTCTAATTCTAGTTCACTTATAAGTTCTACCACATCTACAGTTACTTCCTCCACTGAAGACCTGAACCCCTTACTGTCATCTATAAGGATTAGGATCTACTTCTTGAAACTCCTGTTAATGTTGATATTTTGACCTCTTCCCATGAATCACCAATGTTCTTAATTATATCTAGAATGGTGAATCCTTTCCAGAAGGTTTCCAATTTACCCAGATCCATCCAAGGAATCATTGTCTACGGCAGTTGTAGCCTTATGAAACACTTCTTAAATAATAAGACTTGAAAGTCAAAATGACTCCTTGATCCATGGGCTACAGAGTGGACGTTGTGTTAGCAGGCATGAAAACAACATTAACCTCCTTATACATCACTATCAGAGCTCTTGAGTAACTGGGTGCATTGTCAATGAGTAGTAATATTTTGAAAGGAATCTTTTTTTCTGAGCAGTAAGTTTCAACAGTAGGCTTAACTTATTCAGAAAACCATGCTGTAAACAGATGTGCTGTCATCCAGGCTTTGTTGTTCTATTTATACAGTACAGGCAGAGTCGTTTTTGTAGAATTCTGAAGTGCCCCAGGATTTTTGAAATAGTAAATGAGCATTGGCTTCAATTTAAAATCGCCAGCTGCATAGCCCTAACAAGAGAGTCAGCTTATCTTTTGAAGCCTTGAAGCCCAGCATTGACTTATCTTCCCTAGCTATGAAAGTCCTAGATAGCATCTTTTTCAAGTAGAAGACTGTTTCATCTACATTGAAAATCTGTTGTTTAGTGTAGACACATTCTTCAATGACCTTAGCTGGATCTTATGGATAACTTGCTGCAGCTTCTACATCAGCACTTTCTGGTTCACCTTTATGTTACAAATATGGCTTTTTTTTTTTCTTGCTTGCTTTCTTTATTCTTTTTGAGATGGAGTCTTGCTCTGTTGCCCAGGCTAGAGTGCAGTGCCGCAATCTCAGCTCACTGCAACCTCTGCCTCGCAGGTTCAAGTGATTCTCCTGCCTCAGCCTCCTGAGTAGCTGGGATTTTAGGCACCCACCACCATGCCTGGCTAAGTTTTGTTTTCTTAGTAGACATGGGGTTTCACCATCTTGGCCATCTGGTCTTGAACTCCTGACCTCATGATCCACCTGCCTCGGCCTTAAAGTGCTGGGATTATAGGCATGAGCCACTGCGCCCGCCTGACTTTTTTCCTTAAACCTCATGAACAAACTCTGCTAGCTTCAAACTTTTCTTCTGCAGTTTCCTCATC